GAAAAATTCTTATCTTATATATCAAATCTTAAAAACCAGAATCAGTTTATCCCTTCAGATTTGGATAATGCAAAAATCTTTCATCCAAGCAAATATCAAAATAACAAGTACATGTCAATAAGCAATAACATATTAATAAGTAATAATACATCAATAAACAATAACATATCAACAAGAAATATTATATCAATAAACAAAATTATATTAATAGGCAACATCATATTAACAATTCTTATAGACTAATTAATCCATTTATTAACAAACTCATGTGTTAACAAGTTTTACATATCAATAGACTTTTATATTAACAAACAAGTTATTAAATATAAATAAACAAAAACATATTAACAATTATATTAAATATCATACAAATTAATAACAAACTCTTTTTTATACACAACAGATTTCTTAAAAATTTTTTTTTTTAGAAATTTACAAAACAAAAGTCAAGAAAAGATAACAAGTTATAACAGAAGCTCTAAAGCTTTCAACAACATTACCCTAACAACAGAATGCACCTTGAGATATGAGAAAAGGGCAGGGAAAGAACCAGTCCCAATCAGAATACAACCATATACAAAGAAGCTCATTATTACAGCAGCTAAGAAACCTATGCAACAACTGATTAATCTATCTTTTAACACTTACCAACAAACCACAGAAGATACCTCTAACCCTACTATACAATAAGAAGTAATACAACAAGAAATCCAACAGCAACAGAACACCAAACACTCAACCCAACAGAGTCAAGATTCAGTAACATTGACAGCATCCTAGAACAATATAGTAGAAACTTACCTCAGTACAACCAGTAGGCCAGAAAATCAACAAGAGAAACTAGAAAATCCCATTAGCAAAAGACACTAAACAACCAGAATTGATGATACAGATAAAGAGATAAAAACTAAAGAAGAAAGAAATCCAGAACAGAAATGGTTCTTAGTCTTTAAAGGCAAAAACAAAAAAAGCGATAACATGCAAGGAAGACCAAGGCCAAGATCACTATTTTATAGAACAACCAGATATGGACAAGAATGCTACAAGATCAATATTTCAACAAAACTAGTCAAAAGAAGAACAATACATCAAAAATTAGAGCACATTATTCTAGCTCTCAACTCTTCTAAAGAACTTCTCATAGTACAAAGTAAAGGAAAAAAAGAAGATATGAAAATCATTGCTATTTTTGTAGATTAACATGTAACAGATTATATAACAACTATTGAATTCTCAGAAATAGACAACAACAAGCTGACACACATAGAAACCAGATGTCAAGAAATCAATAAAGGAAATTCTATTGTAGTATAGGACATTCCCCTAAATACAAAACTTATAGAAGTGAAACAAGCTTTTGTCAAATATAGCCATATATAAGGAATCACAATGAGAACCTAAAATTTGTGGCAATATGTTATGATCACCTTTGAAGATCAAGAATTCAAACAAAACTAGTCAACAGCAAAAGTATTTTAATTAAAGGAGACTCAGTAAGGATCAATATTGCAGAATGGACATTTCAACAAATAAAACAAAGATACAAGATTACAGCAAAACTCACAAATCTCTTTCCTAACACAACAGTATGGAATATCAAAAATATTCTCATACAATGTAAAGGATGCACATGCTATATTCTAAGATTAGCAAACAGGAGTTACAAACCCAAATGATTTGTAGTCATCAGTTTCAAAACTTAGTAAGACCTATTAGCAGCAGTACAATCACAATATTAGTAAGGTGAAACAATTCTTACTTTTACTCTGATTGCAACAAAACTCTGCACAATTTGTGACAAAATCACTCACATAACCAAAAACTGCCCCATCAAAGCAAGGCACTTCCAATAGAACACATATGACCAAAACCAGGCAATCAAGTATGGAGATCTATATAATAAATTCAGATCAGAAAAAACCTTAACAATTTGCAACATCAACAAACCAAGAACATCCAGAACTCCAAGAGCAGAAATATACATAGTAGCAGCCTTCCCTATAATCAGATCAGAACAAGAGAATCCAACAACTCTCAAAGATATTAGCAATATCCTTAGAGAAATTCAACAATAACTAAATGTTATCAGATTTCAAGTTGCAGAACTGGATAAGTGCATTACCAACTTAAAATGCTACAATAAAGAATATTATGAAACAATGGACAACAAACAAACACTAGTCTTACAAGATTTACCCCTATATCACAACTCAACAATACACAATTTATATATGAAGATAGCTATAAAGACCTCAGAAACATTTAAACACAATTCTTTTCTTCCATTGATGAAATATAAAACAAAATGAATCAAAGCTTTACCACAATGGATGCCTTGGTTCAAATCTCAATTAAACCCAACACTAATAAACAATAAGTATGGATAACTTACACAGCAACTCTAACAATAACAATGAATAATAAAACACCAACATGATAGACAGTCAATGCTTCAATAACCCTAACAATCTTCCATTCATAACACAACAACTTGAAACAAATCTCACATGGTTAAACTTAGACTCTGCAGAAGACAACAACAACAATACACCACTACTGGAAGCCTACAACATCCTTCATTCACCACATGAAAAACTAGATACACAAATTAACAGTACCTCCATACCACTCAAAAATTAATATGATTATAATTCAAACAATACAAGCTCAGAACATACATGGAAAATCCTAATAACAAATTTCAGAGGTCTCAAATCTAACCAGAAAAAACTGCTCCTCTGGACAGAATGGATTAACAAATACAAACCAAGCATTTTTGTATTCACAGAAACAAATATTAGTAATGCCAAAGGCAGGTTTATTCAATTTTACAACTATCAAACAACATAAAACAACACAAGTAACTAAACCAAAGAATTCAGAGTAGCACTGCTAATAGAGAAAAACCTGGCAAACATATCTACAAAAAACAAATATGGAAGGACAGAATCATTATAACAGATCTATTTTTCAAATTTAAACACAAACTTAGAATAATTGCCATCTATCTTCCCTTTCAAATTTATTAATACAATCAAGAGTGCACCAAAGAAGCCCTCAAATTTATTAATGAAGCAAAAACAACAAACAGCCAGATCATAATATTAGGAGATTTCAACTCAGTCCACAACCCCAGCAAAGACATGCTGAACTCAAAGTTCCCAAAAACAAAACAATATCTTCTAACAAGAAAGCTTATTCAATGGCTATCAAATAATCAATTCATGGATACCTTTCGACAAATCAATCTATACAGCACTCAACATACAGAAGATACAGTCAACAGAATCGATCAAATATGGATCTCTCCAGCACTAATCTGCTTCTATTAAAAGCAAATATATAAGAAACAGACAAAGAGATCATGAAAACTGACCATGATGTTATCCTTTGCAATATACAATATTGGAACATAAAACCTCTAGCAACAAATGGATACAGATTATAACCCAACAACAGATACAACTGGCAGGACACACCACAAGAAAAATGGAAAGACTTCAGTAAATTCATACAATCCAAAATTGTAACAATTATGGAACAAATTAAACAACTCACCAGATATAGTGAACAAGAAATGGAATCTCTTAAGGGAAGTAATTCTTCAAAGTGCAGCCCTTCACATAAAAAAATACAAGAAAAAAAGTAGATCACCAAAACCATCCAGTCCATCCATATACATCTTATGCAAACTTTCAAAAATCCAATCACTGGGAAAACAGCTCTTCAATAACAACTTGTCATCAGACAACATCCTTAAGAAAATCAAATCAATATCAAACAAACTAGTCAACAAACACTCACTCGTAATAAACCCAATAGCAGAACCCCTTTGCACAACTAATATTATAGAATGGATCAAATCCATAAAAAATACAATAGAGAATTACCATATTTCACGAATTCGTGTATAGGATATATGGTATTTTTTAGCTAATATCTGTAATGAATTTGCAATATCCTTAGCAGTAATTATATCACTAATTGCTTCGGGTGATAATTGAGTCGCACCTGTTCTTAATTTCTAAACATTTGTATATTATTAAGAAAAATATCATAATTTCCTACAAAAAATATTAAAATAATATTGGAGGCGTCGTGATAATTTTTTTTTCGTAGCTGGTATAACATCCGATGTGACGGTTTCTTCTCTTCCCTTATTAGATGGTATTTCCAAACTTTACGGTTTATTATTAAATATGTGCGCATACACTTCGTCAAGCGGTTAAAAAATAAAAACCCAATGGGGCTAGTTTATTAAAGTAAAAAAAATGAACGAATTTATTGTATAGATTGTGACAAGCAATCACAATGTCACGTGACTAATAATTTATCCGTGAAAGTCTTAATTCGGTTAATCTTATCCTCTCCTAAAATTCATTGAATAAATCATAAATCTTCAGGGCCCTTTCTTTTGTTTTTCGAAATAAGCTTCACTGATTTAGCTTTTTTATCGATAATAGTTGTAATAGTAAGACATGTCATAATTAGTGATTTATATCGAATTTAGGGGTTTAGACTTATAGTATAAGAATATATAATTCATTTTTAGTGTGAATTGGGTTATTAGATGAGTTGTGTATAATTGTCATATTTTGCGAGTGATGTATACAATGAGAATCATATTGGGTTATAGACCCGAAGGGGAATCGGAGATTCGATGCTTTGCAGGACCGAAGGGACAATCCTAAAGGGTTATAGTTTAGAGCTGATCCTAGGCTCTAAGAGCCATTGCTTCGCAATAAGAATTTATTTGTGGCGATATTTATGTATAAATCGCTCGTGTACTGTGGATTTATTGTGATCTATTTTTGACATGTGAAATCTATTTCGGGTGTATTACACGCATATGATTCAATTTTCCGGCGATAGATGTACTATAACCATCACACATCGATTAACAAGATATCAACCGTGATGTTATATGATAAATCGGAAAGTAAATAGCATAAAAATTTTTATTAGTAAAGATTTCTGGATTTATTTTATTGTATTGGCCAATGCCAGCTCCGCTGATAACAATGATCGAGAATTTTTCTTGGCATTTTTCGACGAACATTTTTGAGGATTTGTTCGCTGAAATTTTGCCACGTGAAATTTATGAGCAGACGAATTAATTGAATATATCCGTATCTTAAATAAAAAATAATGGCAGATACACAGGCCGCAATCAGATCGTTGAGAGTTGAATACAAAACTTGTTCTTCAGATTAATGAAATTAAAAAGAAGTTCGCAGAGGTTGAAGCTGAAAATATAAAATTAAAACAATCTTTGGAAGAATATGCGGTACTTAAGATTCGATTCGATGAACTAGAAAAGAAAAGCAAAGCAGACACCATCAATCTCACTACTGAAAATATTGAGCTTAAAGATAGAGTCACGAAATTGGAACAGAGCCAGAAACAACAGGTAAGTACACTTGTTCCACAAGAACATTCTTCGGTCAATATCGATGCTTCCTGTAGAACGAATTCTGAGGGTAACCTTAAACAAGACTCAGGACATGATAATACCTCCGCACCTGATATATCTATTAATGATTCAAATTCTGATGAACATCAAGAAGAAACTTCGTCTCGAGTCTCCAATTCATCTTCGACTGAATTATCTATATGCGGGAAGCCTAAATCATTAGAAGATAAGGAAATGGATAATTTTCTGGTTGAAAGACATAATGAACGGATTAGTAATGAGATTAGAGAAAGAAACCGGGAAAGAAGCTTCAACATGAGTCACATACTGAAAGTTCTCCAAAAGAGAACACTTACATGTCTAATAACGGAGTTAGTGCTAAAGCACATATTAAATCTAATATCTCTCCCGAGCAGGAAAAAGAGCAAGGTCTAATACAAGAGATATCAATTTCCATTAATCAGAATCAAGCAACCGAAATTTCAGCGAACAATTCACCAAAAATGTTCGCCAAAAATCATGTTTCCAAAAATTTAATTCAGGAAAGTAGTGGGAAAGGTGATATTATTTTGTTTTCTGCATCAAAAAGTAAAGTATTGCTAAATTTAACAAGTTTATACAAGAAAGCTTGTGATGCGGAAAGGCAAGCGATTAAAGTTAATCAAGATGAAATTACGTGTTGGTATTATTATATTATAGAATTTGATAACCAGGTTAAAAATCTTATGAAATCCGATCATATTGGCGAGAAAAAGGCGAAAGGACAAATTTATGATTTTATTATTGCACAACTAAATACCAAGCGTAAAACGTTACAAAAGCAAACCCAAAAGGCTAGAAAGGTTTATAATCTATTCGAAAAAATAGGGATAGATAAGATTCAGCATATCAAAACCTTTAGTGCGGATGCTATTTCAAGATTTACTAATTTACAAATTCAAACAGTCATTGATCATTTCGCTAAAATGCCTGACATAGAATTCACCGATGATCAGGACAATTCTTCAGATGATTTACCCGAAGCTGAGGTAAGTATATCTATTGATCAAGATTCGGAATTACCAGAAGCTGAGGTAAATGCATCTGAGGTAAGTGATACAAAAGCCAATGATAATAAACCACAATCTTTAATTACTGCTTTATCCGACGATGAGTCAGAAAATTTCTCCGATGACGATGAATTCACCAATGATAACGAAGAAGATGGGAGTTTCTGTGGTTTTTCTGACGACGATGATGAAGGTTATTATTATGATTTAAATACCGGCGAAACTTATACAAAATCGAACCGTTCGATCTATGCTTATTAGATACAGAATTCCTTCTTCGCAGACAATAGACATTTATAAACAATGCATTTATACCGATGTATCCGGCATCTGTATGCCTATATATTTTATTATTACAATAAATCGAATATAAGTATATTTTTTATTGCACGTTGTTTTTGATTCAAATATTGCCATATCTGACACATAAAATCTATTTTGAGTGTATTACAAATACTGTATATGATTTAATTTTCCAGCAATAGGAATGTACGACACTCACCATTTGAGATCACCCGGTCTGAGATAGACAAATCCTAGATATGCATATGTATTCGGTCTCACGGAGAGAGGATGCTATCGCATCTAATTATACTACTTTTACGTGAAAAAAGTAAATGAACGTCCATAGATTTATACCGTTAAAACATGGTTGAAACAATGTTGAAGTGTGGTTGGAAAAGCAATAAATTATACAGTACCAAGCACATATATCTTAATATAATCACGGATATATGGTTAAAGTATGGTTAAAGTACTGCCAAAGTACTGTTAAAATACTTAAGATACACTTATAAGAGCAACAAAATCCCAACTTCTCGCATTCTATTCATTCTATTCATGCCACATAGTGGCACCTTTCGGCTTGTCGGGGTCAATATCATAAAAATGGTTGAATGGACTGATTCTCAAATACGTATCCTCATCGATGAGCGTAGAAATAGAAATGAAGAATAACATAATTTTGGAGGGAATCGAATCGGATTTTGGAATAGCATCGCAGCCTGAATTAATCAAGAACATAATACGAGCTTTAATGGACACCAATGTAAAGAAAAATTTTCGAATCTTGTTCGGGATTACAATGTAAGTATGACACCTTAAGAAATTTTTTTTGCTTACGTCTTAACTACTATGACTAATAATTCATGTCAATTAGTTGATGTGCGATTATATGGCAGGGAATCGAAGAGCACGAAGAAGTCGAACGGATGCGCAATACTTTGATGAGTTTCGTACGCATTTTTGGAAGAGGCCTGAAGATGAATTTGATAGAATCCGTATTATTAATACCACAAACCGTAGGAGAAATACAGATGTGGGAAATATAACACCAGCACCATCTATTGAGGAAGTTGAGCATGAATTAAGTATGGGATCCTCTGTTAGACGTATAAACCGAAGTTCATCTATTACTAGTAGGAGGAGTCTAAGGCAATCACCCTACCTCGTGATTCAATAAACATTAATACAAGCAATTTCCGATGCTGAGCAAAATAATGGCGTTCACCTACCTCTGGCTGAAACATCATCTCTTCAACCACCACCACCTTATGAGGCCACAGATGAAGCACAAAATAATTCTTCAGAAATGAATCAGAGCCATGTTGTTTCTAACCGCGAAGTAGCTGTCTCTGGTAATATACCCTTGTCACAAAACAACAGTGATGTTAGTATGTATGATGTAGGAGATAGTCAAACATTTTCTAATATGGAATCGATATGAAGAGGAAGGATAAAGATTCTCGATCACTTTTCTTTATTTAATAAAAAATAATACACTGTATACATGTAAAATCAGAAGATTACTTCTTGGCAAAAGCTGTTCCTTCAGGGATCAATTACTTTCGCGGAAAAAAGAAGTGTCGTGATTGGTAAGGGGTATATATACCTCAATCATTTCGATTAGCTGAAACGCCAATACACATATTGCGTTATCTAAGTTCTTTATCCGTTACAATTTATCCTTTTATAAGTGTCATTGTTTCTTTATCTGTCACAATTTAACCTTCTATATATGTCATTGTTCCTTTATCCTTCACAATTTCATCCCCTTTAGTATTTCAATCATTTTTCGAATAGAAAAAAAACGAATACCGTAAGTATATTCTGCACAAATTTTGGGGTACGTGAAAAAATATCTGATAGACTACTGTATCATATTAAGCAAAGCTAAAAATTTTGTGTGAAATTCCTTATTAAGTTGCACAGGTTCAAAAACATTATTTAATCGTTGCGATTTTTTGCTTATATATAGGTGTTTTTTTCCTATATTCCTTAGTTTTCGTGCTTATTCTTGAAAGTAAAAGTAATATATTGTGATTGTTTACGTAGATATTGATAAAAAAAAATGTTTCTCTCCTTTCACTAAAAATAAGCATTTAGAACATGGCATTCATAGTTTTACCTGGTATACTTATAGCTGAAAAAGTGGCAGAAAAGGTTGTTATTGCAACTACAGTAGCTGCAGTAGCTGTCGTTACTAAGGTAGCGGTTGAAGTGGTTGGTGCTATAGCCGTTAATATCTATAATGCCTCTAACTCCTCTGGCGACTCTAACTCCTCTGACGACTCCAACAAAAGAAATGAAGAATCAATAGGAGATGGAAAACCAACGGAAGAAGATGGATTTGTACCGAAAAGGAATTGGGATGGCACAAAAACAGTTGCTAAGAATGGTAAACGTGGATATGAAGATAAGAAAGGAGATATTTGGGTCCCTGTGAAGAAAAGTAATCATGAGGGAGCCCATCGCGGAGAACATTGGGACGTACAACATAGGGATGGTACATATCATAATACCCTCAAAGGTGGGAAGATATCAGGCGGGAATTGTAAACATGTAAAATAATAATCTTCAAATTTTCTGACTTTATCCCATCTTTCAATGTCAAGCACTTAATGTGCAAGTTCCTACGAATGATATCATCATATTTATCAACTCTTTAAGAGAAATTCTCAAATGACGTCCATATATAGTATGGTTTGCGTTTCATTTATAATAAATAACATTTTTCTCCCTTAAATTTTGAGTACCAATGTTTAAACTAATTACGATAACAGATACAGTATCGAAAGTAGTAATTTCTATCCAGTTATTGTTTTATAAATGAGTATAACTTCGTGTGGCAAAAAAATTTTTAAATCGTTTTTTTTTACATGCATGAAAACCCAGTATTTAACTTATTTATTGGAAGAGGCCTGAAGACGATTTTGATAAATCCATAACATTAATAGCTCTAATCATAGACAACGTAGAATTGGGAGGAATAGTTCATTCGCACCATCTACTGGGGAAGTTTAACATGAATTAGGTCAAATATCACCAGGTAATCGAAGTAGCCGAAGAACTTCTGTTGATAGTCGAAGAAGTCATAGACGGTCAGCATCTCCATTGTTACCCCGTGATGCAATAAACACTAATACAAACAATCCTGGTATAGAAAATCCTGAGCAGAATACTGATCATGCTGGCTTTGTTGAAACATCATCTCTTCAACCGCCACCACCTTACTCACAGAGTGAGGATGTTGTCACATCTGGGGTCACAGATGAAGCACAAAATAATAATATTTATTCAAAAGTAAATCAGGGTAATGTTGTTTCTAACCATGAAGATGTCTCTGGTAATATGCCCTTATCTCAAAACAACAGTGATGTTAGTATGTACGATGTAGATAGTCAATCACTGGAATAAATGTGGGAAATTAGACCTTGTCCTGCTATACAGAATTTTCGTCTAAAAAAATAGATGCAGAGTCCCATTACTTTGTAATAATAGTGGAGCTAGTGTCTTTGACACAAATTTTAGCCAAATATTTGAGTATAGCTCTGCTAGTGTTTCTGACACATATTTTTGTTATATACAGTAAATAAAAATTCCAAAATCACGTAGAATAAATTGAAGATCATATACAATTGATTGTGTAACCTGCTGATTTTGCTATAAATTCCAAATCTGATTGACTAACTCGTGGCATTCACATTTTCTTTGTGAAAAGTTTTTTTTTGTCATGTATCACTCCACCTTCACATTCCCTAAATCTACTCTTCCCATATCTAAATAAAGACAGAAATGGGTGGAAGAGAACATAAAAGGGCAGTATATCCACATTATATTTGTTTGTTATTTTATAGTGATTCTGTTACCTGTGCTATCTCAACTTGCATTTTTATTAAGTTTTTTATCACCATATCTTCTGATTACTTGTATGTAAAAATTGCCGAATATCTGTCTGATTTAAAAACTGAGTATATCATGTAGTCACACTTATTTATCAAGGATTAAAAGAGAACTCATAGATTGACAAGAATGAACTGAGAGATATTGTGAATAAAGCAATTAATTTGGTAAAAAGATCAACTACTATGGATTTTGAACATAATGGAAGACTTATTCAAATTATACTACAGATTAGTTATGAAATTCTCATAAAAAAATATATTGATACTTAGAATGATAAATAATATGGGTGAAGTATATTTTTAAGAAAATGGGTATAACAATATAGACTTTTCTATTAGCCCTCCAACAGGAATTTTTTCTTGATGGCATGAAGAATTTTTATATTGTGAATCATATTCATTTCTATATTAATAATATAACACCTCACAAAGTTTTATTTGTGTAGCCAAATCATACCAAATATAGCTTTGTATTATTGTGACTGCCATGTAATTAATAGTATATAAAGCATGCATTATTTAAAAATAACTTTTAATATAAAACCGGTACTAACAGAAGCACAGATTACACAATCAAGAATATAGACATGAAAGAAGTACTCAAGCTCTTACAACAGATGCAACATGACATAAAAGAAATAAACCAACAAATAATAGACATGGACGAAAGAATCACAAACCTGGAGTATTACAAAAAAGATGGCATCAGTGCTATGGAAACAGAAGAGATAAAAGTACAAGAGACTCCTGAAGAATCAACAAACCAAATTCAAACACCAGGAAACAAGACAACTGTAGTACAGGAAATCATAGATCTCCAAACACACCAGAAACAAATTTACGAAACCATCAACAACACCAACCAAACAATGAATGACCTGTTTAACATAATTCATACATTAATTCCTAGAGACACAAGAACCCCACTACCAACCAATAATATGGATAACAACCAAAGCAACACAACAGATGCAAAAAGTATTACCAACAACCTGTTAACACTATATGAATCAATCCAGAAGTATCCAGAAGAAGACACAAATACAAACAACAACAACTACACAGAAAACGAACACATGGATATATCAAAAGTTTCATAGAATATCAGAATACACAACACTCATAACAAACAAGAAAACAAAAATACAATACAAGTCAAAACCAATATTACAAATAGATGCCACCAAGCTAAAGAAAACACAACACACAACATATTAAAAAAGAAACAGTAACCAGAAATATGGAAGGTTGTAACACACAATGTCAGAGGCTTCAATGATCAGACTAAAAGAAAAATATGGACAAGATACTGCACAGAAGAGAAAATAGACATAGTAGTACTCACAGAAACCCAAATTACTACCAACAATCTGAAACACTGGAATATTAAGGGCTACTACACAATATGAAATAATAATAACAAAGGAGCAGGAGTTGCAATTATAATCAAAGAAAATATCACAAATCACATAGGCAAAATAGAAATCATGCCAGGCAAAAGCATTTGCATTGACCTGAACTTCAAAAGCCATAAGTATATCAGTATAATCAAAATATACATTCCATCACAAAATAATTCAAACTAAACAAAAACATCCAAATGGATACAAAAAAAGATCTGATTCAGACATTACAAAGAATGGAACGTGATTACATTAGGAGACTTTAATGCCTTACACAACCCAAGACTAGACAAGTATCCACCAGAAAAAAACCAACTTTCAACATTACACACAATTAGAATGGTCACTCAACTAAACTATATTGACACCTTCAAAGACACATGGCCAAAGTGCAAAAGATTCATATAAACAAACATACATATTACAAAAATATAAATTGACTACATTTGGATATTCCCCAATGACAACTGGAACCTGATAGATGCAGATATCGAAACATCAAACATGCTCACAAACAGTGACCATAACATTGCAACATGTCGAGAGATCACAGAAATCATCAGCCAACAAAAGAAACCACACTCCTTCAACCAAAACAACATATTAGATATCAAAAGAACAATGGAAAAACAGTGGCAAGCATATGAACAGCATATAGAAGAAGCGATCCAACAACAAGAAACCAAACAACAAACTGATACATATACATTGAACAGACTTTGGAACATAACATGGGAAGTCATCTGCAGAGCAGCCCACCAACATATCCCCAAGAAAAAAGAATATAAGAAAGAAAAGAATCCAGTCTACAGATCCATATTCAAGCATCAAAAAATTATTGCAATCAAAAAACTTAACACACTAGCCAGGAAATACTTCATTCTGAATCAAAAAACAGAGTCAATCAAGACCAAAATCGAGAAACTAATAGACAAAATTAACAAGGAAGAACAATACATACCATATCCACCATGTGAAAACACCAATCCTAAATCAGAAGAGATTATGACATGGATAATTAGCATTAGGCAAACATACAAACTAATCAAAAGAACACTAGAAATAGAGAACAAAGAGAAAGAACAGTGAAAAATCAAAGTGGCCATTGAACAAAGAGAAATAGACTACACAGCAAACAAAAAGAAAATGATTGCCTCAATACTTGATTGACTGAGAAAAACAATCAAGATGAACAAGATTAGAATACAGATGCCAGAAACTACAGCACTACAGATCCAAACAAAATTAGAAAGTTAGTATACATACATTTCACAAAACACACAATAACACAAACCACAAGCTCACAATAAGAATGGACATTATGGCAACAAGAATACAGATCAAAAGACAATATAAAACAAGAATGATATAACTAACTCTCAAGACCAGTTCAAAAGACAGAAATAGATGTAATTATTAAAAACATGTCAAACAACTCAGCTCCCAGAAAATCTGGTATCAGTTATTCACTCCTCAAACACCTGGAAAGAAAAACACTGGAAAGAATCACGAAGATCTTCAACACTATACTTTTAACAGAACAAGTTCCAAAAAAATAGCAAGAAAACATCATATATTTGATACAGACTAGCAACATGACCTGAACTTGGTGAGACTGATCACACTCCATGAAACAATCAAGAAAATATTTACAAAGATGCTCAACAACAAATTTGCAAAAGTAATGATTAAATACTCAATCATATCAGATAGAAACTGGGCAGGCCTTCCAAAAAAAGGAATACAAAAACCCATCAATATCCTGAACAATATTCTCAAAGAGACAAGAGATAATACAAAGGAATGCTGGATCCTCAGCCAAGATATAAGCAAGGTATATGACTCAATACATCACCAAACCTTAGAAAAAGCCATGAAAAGAATCAAAATTCCAGCCAACATTGTCAACATAATCATAAATCTGCTAGAAAACTGTAACAACCAGATCATAACATGCCATGGGCTTACAGCACTATTTCAACCTGAAATGGGTATTGACCAAGGTGATCTAATTTCTCTACTGTTATGAAAAATCTATTATGATCCACTAATAAACAGAATTGAAAAATCAAGATATAGGTACAATTTTATGACAAAAACATCAACAGAAAAACAATGCAAATGGAGAATAACAACCACAAAAGTGGCATTAATCTTATACATGGATAGTACCATATGGCTAACCAATAACAAACAAGATATGCAGAAAGTCATAACGATTGTCGAAAGCTTTGCTAAATATTTAACTTGTCAATCAACCCAGGAAAAGTGATACTTATTACAATTAACCCAAGGAAACAAGAACATATTAGAATGCAAGGACACAAGATCATATCAAAACTAAAGATAGAAGTCATAAGAATACTTGGCATATGAATAATAGCAACAGGAAGCAAAAAACATTAACTGGAGCTAATCAAACACAAAGTCCAAGCAACAATGAACATGCTAAGAAGATGCTCTATTACAGACAAGTAACAAAGATATATTATCAATCATATAGTAATTCCAGCAATAATATATTTTCTGCAAGACACAGTAGTAACACAGCACACATGCAACAAGTGGGACACTATGATCAGGACAGCATTCAAACACAAAATACACATGTCCACTATAACAATAAATAGCGGAATATACTGTTACTTCAAATACAAGATATTTAACATAGGAGATAAACAAGCATAACACTATATAAAAAGCACACTTATCAGGCTAAACAGATCAAACATCAGTGGTGTCACAGCAAGAGGCAGGCTGCAACAATTATAAAATGACACATGGACAACTAGAAACATTCTAACAGACAACATACCAATAAGAAAAAATTGAAACAACCTGTAGAGTCAAATAATCAATCTAATCAAAGGAAATAGATACAATATCAAGCCTAGCACAAATCAAGAAAGCCTTAAACCTTCTCAGAAAATAAGCTACATACAATAGAAGAGATAATGGAACAAAAATAGTTTTAGAAGAACAGACACAATCTAAAGAAACAAAACATAATATTCATTAAACAAACAACAAATGCATATCAAATACACATGCTAAAATGGAAACAGATTAAAGCCAGTAGGAAAGAAAAACCAACAGAACACCAGCCAAA